TAACCACTATACCAAACTGGAAGGCATTTTCCAGGTTCGTGGAAAGGTCTCTCTTGTCAGTTCATGCCTTCAGTCTCCAGGTGTAAGTATCCTCAGATTAGCCCCAGTTGAGAATTAAATATATTGATGATCTACTTAGAAGTGCTCTGTAAACCCCCTTCTATTATGGAGTGGTTCGAAAGCAAGAAATTGCAAGTAGATAAATAGGTGGGAAGGAAACAGCGTTCCATGCGCCTCAGTGTTTAGTCATGCCGGCCACATGACCGCGGCTTAGAAACGGAGATGAGCACCGCCCCCTAGAGTTGCATTCGACTAGCTTTTGAGCAAGGGAAGCCTTTACCTTTATATAAAAAATGACTAATTGTATTAATGACAACAACTTATTATGAGGTCTAGAGTTTGCTGAGAAAAGGACTATATTTACTACAGGTTTTTCCATGTGGGTTTTTATAATCAGTTCCGGCCCCATAGTGCTTTGGTTTATTTCCGTATTTCCACATGCAATTTTGTGCCTTTAGTTTGTGCCCCCCCCCCCCCCCCCCCCAGCTCTTTGGAGACCACTTTTATCCTGATCTTTTTCTGGAAGCCAATTTTGAGTTGCCTTTTTTCTCCCGCATAATGTTTCTTTTGGTTTTCTTTGTCCTCTCTGCTCCCAGCCAATTCCAGCCCACTTTTCAATGATCGGATTATTGTAATTGTATGGATTATTGTAGTTTGGTGTAGTGGTTAAGTGCACGGAGTCGGAGTCTAATCTGGGAGAACCGGGTTTGATTCCCCTCTCCTCCAGGGTGCGGTATAAATCCAATCTATTCTTCTCTTCTTCCTGCAGCTGCTGGATGACCTTGGGCAAGCCATAGTTCTGTCAGAGGTGTTCTTGAAAAAGAGCAATTTCTGTCAAGAGCTCTCTCAGCCCCACCTACCTCACAGGGCGTCTGTTGTGGGGAGGGGAAGGGAAAGGGGTTTGTAAGACACTCTGAGGCTGAGTTCAGACTGGCAGTTTGAAGCGTGAGGGAGTCGTGGCAAAAAAGACCTGTAACAACTTGTTCTGGGTATTCCCGGTCACACTGCACTGACTGATGCGGGAGCATACCGGGGAGGAGGCACAAGGGAGCGTTTGCAGTGTTGGCCCGCCCCGGCGGAGGCGCAGCTGTAAGTGGCTTTTTTTCATTCCAGCAACATGTGCCTATGCGGCTTGTTTGCGGCTTTTAGCGTGCACACATCCGGGAAGCGGGATCAACGCGCTCTCCAGGGTTTGCTACGACTTTCACCTGGTATTTTTTAAACTCAGGAGGGAAGCGTTACAAGACAGGTTGAGTACAGCTGGGGAACGCCTGACAGATGTGCCTGTGTGAACCGGCCCCTTTAATCCGTGAACCGGCCCCTTTAATCCGTTTGCGAAACGTGCCTCTATCGGGCCAGACTGCCAGTCTGAACTTGGCCTGAGACTCTGAGTGAAGGGCGGGGTATAAACCCCATCTCTTCTTCTTTTTCTTCTTCTTCTCTCCCTTTCCTACCCCCTGCCCTGAAGATGAGTGGTTTTGTGTTTGTTTGTTTTTTAAAAAAGACACTAAAATATCGATATGTTGATATAATGTTGTAATGATC